GATACGTACAGTAATCTCGTCCACTCTCTCATGCACAAATAACGTTCGACACTATAATTCGTTCGATTGTGTTAGTTTCTACACGCCCGGCGTCGATGGCGTCGCTTTAATTTTAATCAATTTATTTCGCGGCATTACGCACGCACACACCGACGATCGGCGAGATGATATCTCGCGCCGGCGAGCTTACCAGATTAGCGGGATATTTCAACTATTGATCGCGAGAGGGACCGATAAGTGCGACGCGACTGTACAAATTCGCGGTAATGCGACATACATGCGACTACGATATCACTAAACACATACATATTACATTACGCTACATAGCAGGCAAAATTTTCTACACGAATATATTCATGCTCGCAGCGGTGGTGTCGGACAATTGCAGCCGGGTATACTAATTTCAGGATTGGGAAAGTTACTTTACAAGTTACTTATAAGTTACTTTTTATTATAGAAAATGAGTACAATAAGTTTGGATATTTCAGTTTTTATACTATATTCGATCAATTGCTCCAATTTTGTATTACTTTCTGTACTCAATTTCTATAACAAACACATAAGATAACCTAAAATGTAACTTATAAGTAACTTATAAAGTAACTTATAATTTTCCCAACCTTAATTAATTTTTATAGCACTTGCAAACACATAAAGAAAATTATTCTTAAATTGATAATAATGTTTTTATACATAAGCAAAAATATATCTTGCTTCGAAGATTTTAGTCTTAATTTGATTGAATTTGTATTGATGCAAAATTTTTAGTCTTCAATTAAATACAAAGTATTAAAATACTTGTATCAGTACAAATTCAATCAAATCAAGACTAAAATCTTTGATGCAAAATTATAATATTTTATTTCATATGAGCACATTATTGTCAATTTAAAAATATAATTTTTTTCTGTGTACACAAGATCGCGTAAATCACAACGGGAGGGATCCGTAGAGCGCGATCGCGCATTTTATGGCGAGCCGAAGCCGCGATTGCGCGATCTAATTGCATCGATGATACATCGCAGTTTTATGCGGCAGTCATACATGCTGGTTCAACTACACGCGACGTGCGTTTTTTTATCCCTCCGATTAAATCCGCCACCACCGCGTGCAATAGCGAACAACGCATGCAAGGCACCAGAGGTTAGAGGAGACAGAGACATGATTTTTCAATTTTCCGCCCCCGATAGAAGTGGGAAAGTGCACTACTCCGCATTGTTTCGTGATGGACGAGCTGGCCGTTCGCGGACAAGCCGCGCGCGAGTAATTCGAGATACTCAAACTAGACATCGATGTACTAAAAGAAACGAGGATACTCAAAGCAGACATCGAAAGTCAATCTCAAAGAACGAAAAGGGTATTCATTCTTGCATTTCGAACAAAGCATTGCATCGTTTGATCATTCCTGAGATCACAGGAAGGTAACAATCGACATCATTCCGCGATTTAAGGATGTATCAGATGTATATTCTCTGCGTAAAAAGTTATTGGAATTGGAAATTTATATTTTCCGTATGAAAATATGTTATATACTTATATTCATACACTGAGGAAAAAAATACTTAAAAATTTATTTTTAAGATATATCTATTTGTTTTACTAAAATAAATTCTTATTTAAATATACGGCGAAATGAAATTTTATTTCTAATAAATAAACTATCTATTTTATTTTATTACAATATCAATGAGATATGTATATTTCACAGAAATATTTTATCATCATAGTCAATTTTTTTATGACCGATAAATATCGAAAAAACGTCCTATGCACAATATTTGCTTGCGAATATTTCGATTTGTTTTTTTCAGTATATAAAACAGTAATAAGGTCAATATTTTTTTATATTTAATATAACTTTATAGTTTAAATGAAAATTTTTTCATTTCATCTTAATTATTTTTTAAAAACATATCTATTGAAATAATTTTTAATTTAGATTTTAAATCATCAAACTTTTTATGTTACTTTCAAATACAATAAAGAAAAATCTATATTTTTTTCATAATTTTATTCATTTTGTTAAAAAATATATGTAATACACAACACACATCCTTAAAGATAAAAAGTGTTTTCTATGTCTATGCTTTGCTTTCACTCCGTCGCGGGATATAAAATTCCTTGAATGAACTTTAATATACATATATTATACGAAACATAAAAATTTATGAAATATAAGAAACACACGCACGCGCACAATCGAAAACACATAAAATTCCGGAGTTTAGAGAGGTTGAAAGACGCTCCCTTGCTTTTCTTGCTTTTTTATATCGCGAAGATTTGTGAAACGGCGAGCTCGTCATTTGAAAGAGCTGCAACGAATCGTAAACGCGTATAATGTTGGACACTTCTGGATCTAATCGAGAAGAAAATCGAGACAATAACGTCTCGCGATTTTACGAGCGTGGATTCGACGTGTTTCCCCACAGATACACCAAATTGCACACCGTTTAAAATATACGCGTTACGATCGGGCAGTCCTTTCGCTCTCTTTCTCTCTTACTCGAAATGGTGCAACGAAATCTCCATAAAAGTCTAGCACGAGAATATTATTGGGCGCGCGCGAGTACTCGCAAAAAATCGCGATACGTCACCACTAATTTGCGCGCAAAAAAAAAGCTTACGGTTCGACGGTGTGTAAAACTCCGTTTCACATTTTACACGTGACTGTATTATGAATGAAAATCCTGGCGAATACTCGAAGGAGATTGATCGATCGATAGATGATGATACCAATGGAGAGCCGGATATCGTTGAAGCGAATATATATACCATAATGATCCTTAATTTTTCATTTCGCGAAAGCGATTCACGATAACAAGTTTCCGATGCACCGCCAGGAACTAGAATTGACATTTTACAACGGACCGCTTTCGCTATTTTTCAAGCGGTTTTCGATTCGTTTGGTAATTACATCTGTACGTATACGTATCAGCGTATCGCTCATTTTCGTTGCACCCGCATCGCCAACCCATGTACATATGTATATCGCGATGATATGTGGTCATCACATGAGATGAATGAGAAAAGATTGTTCGCATTTTATGATCTGGAATTCATGTAGTTAGTACTGATTGAATGATCGGATGACGTCGTTAATTGATGTATGTAATGTGCTCTGCCCTCTCCAGTCCGGACGAGATACAACGTGTGATACAAAGTACGTTACTTTTACTCTACTCGAGCGAGTAATTTGCGGCGGTGCTCGCTCGCTCGCTCGCACGAACGAGAGGCGCGTCCCGTTCGCCGTTATCGATTCCACCAATCAAAATCAAACAAGATATACAAAACGACAAACGGAAGAACGTAAGCGCGTAAGCCAACAAATCGTAAATATACGGCCAATTTAAAGTTCTTTCAGTAACAATAACGTTGCAGTAACATTTCAAAAACGTGTGCCCTCCGCTGCGCTCTGCCTCATTGGTACAAGCTCACTAGTATATATAACCATATGTAATCAATAATGATATGTAAATTCATTCATGTTCATGATGTGAAATCATTGTGCATATTGTGGATATTTAAAAAAAAAATTACTGACGACGTTCCGGCACCATCGACACTACCCGTTCAAAGTCAAGAACAATTACTAGATATGTCGTAGATATTTAATCAGTATGTAAATATTTCTTTAGTTTTATATCGATATTATAAAGAATCCAAAGTATAATGAGACAGTAATTATACAATTTTATTAAAAATTGATGGTTCCACAAGCAATTTTTTTTTAATTTAATTGAAATCGATGATTTGAATAAAAATATCTATATCGATAAATTTCTTGAGGCTCTAGAAACCTTTTTGAGATGTATCATTAAATCTCGAATTTTTTGGAAGAATTAGAATTTCAAACTCTGACTGAGATAATATTTTTCGCAATAAGTTATTTATACAGATTTTTGAGATCTTATTATCTTCTATTCAAATTAGAGATTGTCCACTATTAAAGTGGACAATCTAATTTGAGATATTAATTTTAGCTTCAATTTACGTTTCAAGTTCGACAAACTTTATCAACGCGTAATTTATAAATAAAATTAAGATAATATTTATAAAAATTTGCATTTGATATTATTAAGCACTAAGATCCGCTTCGATCGGAAATAAGATTATGTTAATTGTGTGTGTGAATTAGAATTTATTTATAATTATATAAAAACTCTAGAAATGGGACATTAACTTTATAGTGGTCGGAAAGAGCTGAATCACAGAATTCATAGAAATAACTGTTTATTCGGACTCGACAGGCCGGAGCGCGTCTGCTTGTTCCCTCCCATATTGCCTTTTCACGCTCCAATTCGTGATTATGCAACGTTTAATCGGGGAATTAAAAAAGAAGTCTCGGAAGTACAAATTTCTTTCCGCGGGAGTGAGCGCGCATCGAGCGAACTGCGACAATTCCAGTGGATTTCCACCCGAAGAAATTTACGATATCTCATGGTGCTTCTCAGATTAAGCGACGATCGAAAAACGTCAATCTTTCCATTACTCCGTATCGTTATTATCATCATTATATTGTATCTCATATATCAACAGTAATTAAGCAAAATTGCAACTCGCAGTGACTCTTAATAAAAGAAAAAAAGGGATGTTAAGCGTCGCGAGGGTGTTAATGTCGTCGGAAGGCGCGCTTACGATTTTGTACGCGTCGATTGCTCGAGGAAGCGAAGCGAAAAGAGACTTTTCACTCGATATGACGTCGAATGATTCTCTCCGAACGTCGTTTAAAATGTCGCGATGGTACACTTGGCAGCTTGCTGATACCAGAGGCGCGGCGCTCTCGAGGAGTGCCCCCGTTTTTTTAACTCACGGATATAGAGAGCAGAGGCGATATCGTCCGATATCGTACCGTGTCGCCTACCTTCTTCTCCCATTGGAGAACGTAGGGCACTGGGTGCTCACCGGGGAACTCTACGTGACAGTTGAAGACAACGCTCTCCCCGAGAATAGCCGTGATGTGCACTGCGTCCTGTTGACAGAGTCCTGAAACAAAAACAGTTATGGTCATTAGTGATAAATAAATAATAAAAAATCTGTAAGTGAATATATTAAGGGGATGTTATAATGACAGCCAATCTTCAACGAATTACTGTTTTATCGATTAAACGCAACTTATACACATACGATTTACAAAACATCGACATATCACTACACACTGAGAGAAAGGATTTTGTTAATTTAACAAGCCACCAGTATCTTTAACAAGTGATCGGTAAATATGTGACAACAAAATTGATTTGTTGTGATTGCTACTAGTCTGCTATACCAACAAATTATTAGTAATAGAAGCAAATTATATAGCACCTAACCTGTCTTTTGGATAGACTTTAGAATCGTTTATCATAGTAATCATAGATGATCGTGGGGTCTTAAGTTGTAGGAAACTAACCAATCACAGTCAAATATAGGGAGAATATTTGACTAGAATTGGTCAATTTCGTACGATTTGAGATACCCTACAACCATCTACGATTTCTATGTGTGTATATATATATATATATAAAAGCTTTTTATTTGTTAGCGATACTATTGATTATTTGTTACATTGACGAATGAGAAATAATTAATTTGCAATAGTAACTAATCGATTGTTTTCTTAACCAATATCACATTTGTTTTCCCTTGATTTGTTCCTATAACAAAATCATTTCTCTCAGTGCATATACTACTATACGTCTATATAGATGTAAATTGCAGTGCAGGGAAAATCTGTTTTTCTAGATTTTCAATCTAGTTCGATAAATTCAGTACTGTTCGTTCATATAATCCGAAGTGCGAGGCGATTCACTTTGTCCATAGAACTTTTATATTAAGAAAACGTTTACGTCAGATGAGAACTCTACGAGCTGAAAAAATTTAACCTTTTAATTTTTTTGTTTTTAATACAACCGACCATCTTGCATCTTTATTTTGTGTCTATTCAATTCTATATAAAAGAATTTCACAATTCAATTTGGAGAAAATTCCTAACCGGTGATTCTCGTCTCTTCAGCATCTCTTAAACAATTAAATAAGAGGGATAAATTATTATGGATATCTTTTAATTATGATACTCTCGTATTGCAGGTTATATCAATGCGATTAACTTGATTTTTAATCGAGGGAATAATGATTTCTACACTGAGAGAAAAATGAACAAAATTTTAATAAATATAATATTTATTTACGGAAAATATTTGCTAAATAAAAATAATAAAAGTTAAATCAAATTAATGATTCTTATACCAAATGAATATTTATATTTACATTTACTAAATATTTAACTGGCACTAGTCAAACAAATATTTATTAAAATTTGATACATTTTTTCTCAGTACATACGCGGTAAGTAATATTGCAGCATTACTCCAAATCGCTATAGAATTGACAATAAAAAAAATGAATCGAAATACTCATGGAAAAATTGACTGAAATTTCTCGCACTTCTATTTCGCGCTCGCGAAAGACGTCCGAGTACCGGAAGCTCATAATTCTTGTCGCAAGGGAGTCTCGCTGTGGGAAAGAAAACTGCAAGAGGCGGGTTGTCCCCGGCGGGAAGGCATTAAAAACCATTAAAGGTAAATCAGGGGCAACGGTTGTCACTCTTTTCTGCGAGCAACGTCGGGAAACCCGGTACCGCACGCGGTGGAGGCGTCATGCGAGATTAACTTCGCATTAACCTCCAATGCTATGTTGAATAGGATCGAATATACGACCCAGTTTCGTGTGCTCAAGATATTGCCAACCAAGTAAAAATCCCTTCGGTCCCGTGCGGTGATAACGATGATATTTCGTTCGTCGCCCCTTTCCCGCCTGCGATGTCAGATAGTTAACATACTTCGATACATTCGTGTTCTTGCTCGTCTTATACCCTGTTTACGATTGGCGTGACTTGTGGGAGAGATATCGCTATAAATTATATCGAGGAACGTCGTCCCAAGGTGGAAAAAGTAGCCGGCACATCATGACGCGGTGAAACGATGATGGTAAACACGTCGGCGAGGATAATACGGGCGAGCCTGAGGAAGAAACTCCGTTGGGATAATTAATGTTCTTAGCGCAAATACGACAGATTAAAGCGAGCTGCTATTGAATAAATTGATATCTGAAATTCAGAATGCTTTCAATTTTCGGAATGGAAAGTTTCTATATCCTGGCTACTGCAGAATATTACTTTCGTTGTTAGTTCACCGCACACCGTTTATCAAGTCAAACCAAACAACTTCGCTCAAAATGTTTATATACGAAAAATATCGAAGCGTTAATATGATGTTTATTATGACTTTTTAGTTTATTTTAAGAATGCTTGCATTATTCAAATAGTCGCAAGAAAGGAACACCGCAGAATGAGAAATATGAGATATAGAGCTTGTCAGATGGCCGAGACAAACAAAAGGAAAGTCAGTTGTGTGGCGAGGAACTAGAAGGAACCGAACTACAAATACTCTTAAACTGATTCGCAGAAATATATGTCAGCGCAGTCTGCTATCCGCGCAAAGTAATCGCGAAGTTCGTGTCGCAAGAAGCTCTATCGGTCGAGGGAACACAAATCGGGAATGACAGCCGATCTACTTTGCGTCCTGAGAAAAGTTCGCCACTAGGAAATATCGATCTGACTGCTGACAAGCAAACTTCGGACGAATCTGTCGCGGCCCTTCCATTTTCGTTTTATCTTCGCCTTTCGTTGCTGCGTCACGATCGTCGCGATTAACGTTTCACTGCGGTAAACAGCTGCCGCATTCGTGCACTTTTTACTACTTCACGAACTACTGTTCTCCACGAGTTCTTAATGCAGTAGTACCATTACGGTCTGATTTTTGTCACGAAACGACTGCTATGTTTGATTGATGTCGCACGACTATTCAAGACTTAAAAGTACAAGTTAGTAGTAGTTAATTACTACTGACTTTTCTTTAAAAGAAACTATAAAATGCATTTCGAGCGTTTTAAGATGTTGACAATAATTGCATTGTAATAGGTTATCACAATGTCCATCAGTCGACACGCGAGCTATGATATACTTTAGATAGATTTTTATGTCGAGTGACAACGTCGACACAACAACTGTTCATGCTCGTCCGAAAGTGCGACTTCCTATTATGCAGTTTCGGAACTGCGACTACGAGAACCGGAGTATTTCGCTCCCTTTTGCGTAGATTGTGCATCCGTACGTTGCTTAATGCCCAGCTAACTTTAGGAACAATGAAGCCCCGCGTTGCACACTCGCATTAAAGCACGCTACAACGTTGGACGCGTGACTTCCTCGGAAAAGCCGAAACTGTGCAGAAAATCGCTGACATCAAGGAGAGAGAACCGCGTCTCACATGTAAAAGCAGGGAGCAAAGCACTGGGCTCGATGATATCCATTTCGAATAATGGACACGAGACTTTGATGCCTATCCTCTTTGAACTCCTCCGCGTTGCAAATACGACACATTTTTGGCGTTTGTACGACAAAAGGGACCGTAATAAATCTCTTCCCGGTCGCAAACCTCTGAAACGCGTTTCGCAACAGCCATATGGACAGCCCACCGGATGAGTTTTAAATCGAAGGTGCTTTCATCGTCAAAAAAACGAGGGGATTTTAGCGAAACTCTGTGTTACGTTGAACGCGGTTGTAGATCTCCTTTACATCAATATTTACCTTTCGTTACTATTAAAACTGCAGTGGTATTTATAAAATATTTCTTGCGTTTCTTTACTTTTACATTTGTAGCAAATTGCAACAGAACAATGTTATTTAATAAACTTTGACGATATTCTTTTGGCAAAAATAATTTGATAAAATAATATCTACCGTTGTGTTTAGATAGTCTACATAGAGATGTAGAGTCGAGAATACCGTTAAATGATTATATTATTATATTCTTTATGTTACATTTGCAAATTCGTATTATTGTTATTAAATATTATTGTTATTAAGTATTAAAATAAATTTAGTTTTCATTTTTTATACGAATTATTTGATTGCTTGAAATTAATTAGTGCCTTTTAATTAACGTTAATTAAATTGGTCCCATTCAATTATATTCTTACGGAGTTGACGGTGGGTCGCTCATTCAATTATATTCTTTATGTTACATCTGCAAATTTGAATTATTATTATTAAAATAAACTTAGTATTCACTCTTTTTTATACGAATTATGTCATTTTGATTCCTTGAAATTAATTAGTGTCTTTTAGTCAACGTGAATTAAATAAATCCCACAGAACCAACGTCAGTAACTGTGTTACAGATTTTGATGTCAGCTTCGAAGAGTTAATACGCTCAGATGTATTCCCCCGTGAACGACGTCTCGTGATATGAGAGCTCTCGTGATGCAAATCCACCATGGACGAATGTGGACACGTCGCGAAGCCGCATCGAAGCCGGCGCATTACGTATGCATTGTGTAATATCATGGATCGCGGCTTCTCGACATCTGCTCTAGTGAACCATCGATAGTTCGACGTTTCGCCAAAGGCAGTTTTCGATAAGATGTGTATGTGTGTGTGTGTGTGTGTGTGTTGTGTAGCTTGATAACGTTCGACAGTGAAATCGTAGAGAAGAAAAGTCACGCTAACTCTTGTATCATATCTATGATATTCCCGATCGTCTAAACGTAACATAGACATCGTGAAATAGCAAAAACGATTCGGAATGCATTTGTGTCGATGATCTGTTGGCTAATCTTAGCGGCTTCTCTGTTTATCATCTAAAGTCTATTCTACATATCTAAATAAGCGTCATATCTAAATAAGCGTAGTTGTAAGAATTGAATATTCTCCTTATATTCAACTGCGATTGGTCGACTCTTATTTTTACAACTACAACCACCTACAACTACGTTTACGTAATTGTAGAATGGGCTTGAGGGCAAAAACACACGATAGACAATGTTGGGCGACTGTTGTGTCGTATGGAATATAAACCGCGCACATGCTTTCCGCTACACAATTTTCCGAGAGAGTAACCACTTAATGTAATGGTGACAGAGTCCTCGAAATCATTATAAAATACATA